AAGGAAAACAAAAAAAGGAGAAGAAAAGGAGGATGAAGAACAAGAAGCCGAAAAAGGAAATAGAATAAATAAATAGATATATATTAATGGTCTAAATATTATATTGAATATTGTGGAAAATTATACGAGAAAAAATATATATGAACGGATGATATAATTTTGTGTGTTCAATCATGATATCCAACATATAATATCTTCGAATCCACAAAGTATTTTTATGTAAACAGTAATAACTTACACTGAATACCTTATTTAATTAGCCATTTTGAGTATGAACTTAAATAAATGATTTCAAATTAAATTATTGAAAAAATATTTTCTAATTAAAAATTTTGGCCGTGCAACGCACGGGTACGATACTATTGGAGGTAAAAATGATGTTTAGAGTAGGAATGAGATGATATTTATAGGGGAAAAAATTGCGGTGGGATTCCCGTGTCATGAGATAACTCGGAGGCGCTCTGGTGACCCGTTCGTAAAATTGACGGTTCTTATTCCCCCTAACTCCCGGTAAACCCCCCACCCCGCCCTGGCCCGAACACACCCTCTTACCCCCTTCAATAGGACCCGACAAGTTGATTTTGACTTTGAAGTCAAAATTTGGGTCCAAAGTCAAAACCAACTTGTGAGGTGCAATTGAAGGAGGTAGGGGGTGTGTTTGGGTCGGGGTAGGATGGGGGGTTTACCAGGAGAGTTAGGGGGATAGGAACCGTCAATTTTACGAACGGGGTATCGGAACACCCCTGAGTCATCCCATGACATTGCCCGACAATGTCATGGGAACCTTCCCAAAAAAATTGACCCCCACCTTGACCTCAATTGCTCAAATAGGTGTTTTGGGTGCCAACGAGTATATTGCGGTTTGTAGTTGTGGCAGCCGGCAGCCCCTTCCCCAGCCAACGCTAAAAATAAATAATACTATCAATGCTTCAGAACCAGACCGCTACTGACACCAGACGGTTCTGGTCTCTAAACCCCCAGCCCGCTAGTCCGCTACGGGTACTCCATGGCCACTCAGCAACTGGTTCCTGTGATGGTTCGGGTTCTAGTTTGGCCAGTTTTAATTATGAAACCAGTTCGGATCTACACAAAATACACAAAGGTGGATAGAGAGTGGGAGAAGATCCCTCAAATGAAGTAAAGGAGAGAGAGA